GGGGAGGGGGGGGGGGCGGGGACGCGTGCACCGTCTTCGTGGGCAACCTCGCGTGGGGGACTACGGACGACGACCTTCTTGCTACGTTCCAGGTAACGGGCATTCGGCAATTTGATCGAACCGCCAGGTTATAGCGGCGATGGCGCCGGATGAACGGGAGGTAGTAGCTATTTGCGGTTGGCGGAGGCGGCGGTGGCAACGTGTGTGCCTGCCGCTGTGATGATGCAGCCTTGGCGTCGAGCCTTGTCGCCCTATTGCTGCTGTGTGGTGCAGTCGTATGCTTACCGTTTTTCCTGGTTGTGAGGTTCAACAGCCAGCTGTGGCAGGCAGTCGAAGGCGCGTGTTTGATCTGTAAGGGATCCGGATTGACCGCTTGTGAGCATGTGGGCGCAGGCAGCAGAAAGAAATTAAGCGATCTTAAGTTGTCCTGCTACAAGAATACGTAGGAACCAAGTCTAACTACGACGCGAGCACGGTCGACCAAAATACATGAAATGCTGCAGAATTGTTTGGGGTTTTTTTATCACAGGCACGCTTGGACCGCCTTGCCTCGCGTGCACATCTGCTGCTCCTTCCCACCCGACGACTCGCTCCCCTTTTTTGCCTTAGCTTTCCTCCGTCCACCACCCCCGTGTCTTCCCTCCCCTCCTGTTTATATATGTATTTCTTTGTGGGGGCACGCGTGCAGACTGCGGGGGCCGTGGTTTCGGCGCACGTGCAAATCGCCCCTTCGGGACGCTCCAAGGGATGGGGGTGAGTCAATCAGTCACTCGATCGCACCCTAACCTTGACGGTACCTATCACTAAATACTTGGGGAGATTTTTTTTTCCTCTCGTCGGTCATAGCCCCTTTCCGTCTCTGTGAAAAGCGTATTTTCTGTGTTTTCCTTAGAAAATAACAACGCTCCTATTTTCTTGAAAGTTATTCTTGGAAGTATGCATTCGAAAAGGGTGAGACGCTTTCGGGCAGGGTGAGAGTCATGATCGCAGTCTTGTAGTGCCCTGACCCGATCATGATGGGTCGGTCCGTCGGCCCCCACAACAGAAACGCCACTCGTTCGTGTAATGCGTATTCCATCACTACGAGCATACATGTCGATCCCCTGTGTCATCGCCGTGCCCTTTCTCGTCTACACAAGTCCGAAAGCTGGCACCCGCAGCAGTGTTGCTGTAGTTGGGATGGGGGGGTGGTGTACTCATAGTCGTGCATGCCGTAGTCGTTAGACCATTGAACTCGCATCCCTACAAAACCGGGACGGAGCACGCCGGGTTCTCAGGCTTTCACATCACCAAGCGCGAAGCGCCGTGAGGTATTCGGCGAGTCGCATGAAGGGTGCGCTGCATCCTGCTAAGGGTGTTCGGCATCTTGTGCTTACTTCCTTGCGTACGGATGACAGCTGCGTATGACTTAGTTTGTTTTCTGGTGCTTTCACTTCCAGAGACAGTTATAAGCACTGTGTAACTGCCTCGAGGATGCTTGACCTTTTTAGCACAACGTGGTGCGATCATCCCCCGTTGCGCGGAGTGAGGGTTCTCGACCCTGCACAACATGTTCTACTCGACCACCATTATGGTTACCGCAAAAAAAAAACAGAGGTAAAAACAAAACCGGTAACCTGGTTGCCGAGTTCACGAAGTGTATCGGCTTGTTTTACAACGTCGTTGCCAAGCGACGAAAACCCAATCCCGATGGCAAGCACCGAGGGACGTGGTGCGATCATCCCCTTTGCACGAAGTGAGGGTTCTCGACCCCGCACAACATAATCTTCTCGACCACCATTCATGGCTACGTAATAAAAAGAAAAGGCAAACAAAAAAAAGCGGTGACCTGCTTGCCGAGCTCACGAAGTGATCGGCTTGTTTTACAACATCGCTGCCAAGCAACGAAAACCCAACCCCGATGGTAACCACGGGGAGAGAGGGGGGGGGGCGTACTCTTTATGTTTTGCATGCCTTAGGAGAGAGGGGGGGGGGGGGGCGAAACGCGTGTCTTCAGTCTGTGACCGCTGTTGTAATTGGAGCGGCGGCAGTCGCGTGTGCGGAGGAAGTGGCAGCGTTAAACCCTGCTCATGTTTTCTGCTTCCTGTTTTAGGTGGGGATAGAGCCCGTTCACGGACGCTCGTGGGTTGTCAAACTATCCTCACGAAACCACGAAACGAATGCTGACGGTGCTGCTGTTGCCTGCAATCAACGTTTTTGCCGCAGCCGCAACGAAGATCGGCGATCAGGGTTTTGCCTAAGCGCTCCGCCGCCCTCTCTCTTTCGTTTGTCGCCCCCTGGTTCAACTTTTTTTTTTTTTACGTTTGGCAGGCTTGTGAAGTACTCCAGCCCCACCGAGACGGAGACCGCGGTGACCGAGCTGAACAACACCATGCTGCACGAGCGCCGCCTGACGGTGCGGTTGGACAGGAAATAATTGTTGTTGTTTTTTCGAAAACGAAGAAGAGACGGAAAACGAAATTTTCTTGACTAAGAAAAGGATCAAGAGAACAGGAAAGGTTGCAACAGCAGAGAGAACGGGCAAGAAACGAGGTCGTCGAGCACCAGCACAACTAACTACGTCGTGGTCGACGTCTTCCGGTCACAAGCGTCAGTCAATCCCCGCCTTCAGTGTCGTCCTTTAGTCCATCGTCCACGTCGCCGTCGTCAAACATGATCGCCGTCATCATCCCCAACGATTCGTGGTCAAGGAATGAAAAAATAGACTACAATATATTTCTATATTTTACTAGGTCATGACCATGGCGTTGACGTGGCTGCTACTTCTTGTTGTTCGATTTGCTTCATTTTTTTCACCAGATCTTTTTTTTTTTCCCGGTTTGTGATGGCAGTCGACGTTCGAATCTGGAGCGTCCTTTTTTTTTTTGTTGGTGCTGTTTCGATTTTTTTTTTTGTTCTTTGATGCATTCAGTCCACCACATCAGTTAGCACGGCAGGACCACTGGTTCATTGGATACTGTAAAAAGCGACAAGAGCAGGGCACTAAAAACAATCTGAAACAGACCTAGCACGGCCTGCCTGGAAGGGGGGGGGATTCAACACATAGGGATTAATTATATTAACTACTTAAAACTTAGGTGCTTTGCCCACAAACGAAATGCTAAAGTCTCTTCTTTATCAAGAGGCTTCAGGTATGGGGAGAAAATCCTTGTATAGCAAGGTGGGGGTTTTCTTTTGGGGGCGCGGTAGAGTGTGGATGATGGAGGGGGGGGGGGTAACACGGGAGGTTCTTGCAGCAGACATCCGTTGGTCGAAACAGGGGGGAGGAAGCGGGAAATGAAACGACGAAGATGAGCGAGCCTTTTATGGCCTGTCCCTCACAGCTAGATTGAAGGCTTCGCTTCGTTTCATGCGGAGGGGCGAGTTTCGGGTTGTCTGCTGTTGTTGCGCGGTGTGTAGACTGTCCGGAACTCTCGAGAGGCCGGGGGCGCCACCTATTGGCCGCCCGGCCTGCGCGGGTCGTACTGGCGAACGCTGCTGCAACGGAAGGGTGCACCTTATCTGACCGTGTTGCTCTTTCCCGAGTGGCACGCGACATTGTTCAGAGGGGGCGCCCCCGCCGCTTGCGCCCTCGTTTTACATGGCCGTTTCGTGTTGCTTTCTATGCAGGTGCGCGTTTTTGTCTTGCTGTGTTCTGATTTTCTCTGCTCACGAAATTCATTATTTCGTGTCCTATTTTTTTGTTGTTGTAGCTGATTCAAATGGCAGCCCGCAGATCGTTGTCGTTTTCAACGGCCGACGATTTTTTCGATGTAAAAGCGGATCCAGCATGAGGCAGAGAGAGAGAGAGAGACGGAAGAGAAATAGATTCAGCAGAGGAGCAAACGGCGCCGTTTTTTTGTTGGTTTTTTTGCTGGTGTTGCGCCTCGGGAAGGAGGACGGGGACGAGGTGTTTCGTCATGTACGCATGCCATTCCCACTTCAAGCCCTCGTTCGGAGGGGGGAGCGCGGAAAGATGGCGGAGAAGGCGCGCTAAAGTTGTTGGTTTTTTTGGCACTATGTTTTTGTGAGGTTGTCGCAGCACCGTCTTATCTTTTGAGGCGGACGTTGTGTGGTTGATGGTCAGCACCACCTTCGATTACGAAGAGGCTTGTTTGGTAGTCTTTTCGCCGAGACTACCCTTTGAAGTTTGTTTGGTAGGCTGACCGACCCTTTGTAAGGGCAAAAAAATACGGGGTTGGGTTGATTGATAGGTCGGACGGCTTGGTTTGGGATTGTGGAGTCGAGGGCGGGGGCGCGCGTGCGCCCCCGCCCCCCACCCCCACCCCCTCTTTCTTTCCCCCTCAACAGCTTCCCTCTTTGTCTGCGCGGAGGTTGGTCGCTTACTTTTTCGGTTGTGTGTCATGTCGATAGGAAGACTCTGGGGGGAAGGTGTGCAGAGGTGCAGAGCAGAGTTATAACACGCACAGCGAGAACGGAGAACGAAGAAGAGGCGGAGGAAGACTTTGTAGAACGCGGGCTTAGCAAGAGAAGAGAGGGCGGTGGAAGAGGGAAAGGAGGAGGAGGAGATTGAATGGAACTGAACTGAATTGAATTGAAGGAAGAAAGCGAAAATTGTTAGCAAAACACAGGGTGGGATGTGCGCGGGTACCCTGTATGTATGGTCTTGCAAGGCAAAGAAGCTGTGAGCGAGACGGTGGTAAGCGAAGGAAGCAGAAGAAGATAGTCGGGGGGGGTGTTTCTGTGTTTGGTCCTGGAGGTGCCAGGAGAGATAAGAGACTGAAACTTTCCCCTCTTGGACGTTCTTTTCTTCCCTCGCCGGTGTTGATACGCGGCTATTGCCGAAGGTTGGCTGCGTTGGTGAGGGCCGGAAGCGCCGAGCAAGGCCACACTCTTGTCCATCAGCTTTCGTGCTACTACGGTAGCAGGTACAACCGACATGATACGATAGCATGGAATACTTGCGCACGAACGACGGCTCATGCTTTGGATGTATTTTCATCTACATCCCATATGCATATTACTTCCAATGCCGTGAGCGTCCGTCTCAAAGTGGTTCTCACAGACAGCTCCTGCTCGCGCTGTACGCAGCAGTTAGTTGCGATCAGTTTTTTTGTGGACGCTTCGGATACACACGCGGCCCGTCCCTCCAACACGCTCCAACAAGATCGATACAAGCCCATAAACATGACGCGGCTGGGTCTGACTCGCATGTATGAATGTCTCGACAACATGACAGCAAAGAGAGGCAAGCGGCGCCATGAAGAACGACAACACGCCTGTGTGTATCAAGGAAAACCCTCCGGTACAATACCACAGCAGCAGCAGGAGGAGGAGGGAGGAAGCAACCCGATTTATTTCCTCGTCCGTCTGCCGTCAATCCGCGCTTCTTCTTATCGTTGCGGTGGGGCGTTTCGGCGTCGCTGTCTCGTCCCCGGCCGACTCCCCGACCCCGGTCTCGCTCCCGCCGCCCCCACTTTCCGACCACACCCCACCGCCAACACCGTCACTGCTACTACCACCACCACCACCACCACCACCACCACCACCACCACCACCACCACCACCACCACCGACGTATCTATCGACACCTCCCGCACAAAAACCGTGCCCCCCCCCCGCCCCCCTCCCGCTACCCGCGGCGCCCCGGCCTCCGCGGCGGGATCGGTGGAACTCTCGATGCTGCTTCCAGACGCTTTGCTGGTGCTGCCAACGTGCCTGCTGTTGCGGCGTTCTTTGCCGCTCTGGTCGTGGCTGCTGCTGCTGCTGCTGCTGCAGCTTCTGCCGATTTTGTGCCCGCTGTTCCTTCCAAGTCTGCTGCCGCGGTGGTTTCTCTCGAGGTGGCCTGTCTTGCTCCTGCTGGGAATACGGAGATGTACCACAGCTATTGCTTCCATTGCTGCTGCCCTGAGAAAGGATCTGCGGATTCGGACTGCGGCGATGATTGTGCTGCTGCTGCTGCTGCTGCTGCTGCTGCTGCTGCTGCTGCTGCTCCCCTTGTTTTTGTTTCTTGCGCTGGGCCAGCCTCTCCAACGCCATCGCCTTGTTGCGAGCGATGCGTTCCTGTATGCCATGTACGACGACAGCCGAACGCAAATAACGTTAAGCGAACCGGCATATGGATACTTGGTTAGCTCACGTTCCACAACCCCTCAGCAGTGTGTGCACGTTCCAGCTAATCCCTTCCCACACAATGATCCGTCCCATCGAGGAAGCGTGGTCAATGGTCCTACAACTACGGCCTACCCACCCCCGTACCTGATCACAACGATGCCGACTGGTAACATCAAGTGCGAAGCCACCAGTGACTGAGTCTGTTTACCTGAACTTGAGCCGAGAGGACAGTCGTCGCCTTCGCTGCCCCGCCGCCGCCTACCGTCGTCGCCTGCCTCCCTTCTCTCTGGGATCCCGCCGACAGAGGCTGGCTGCCGCTTTGTTGGGAGGTTCCCGCACCGCCACCGACAGCCGTCGTTTTTACCGCGGAGGCATTGGTCTCGTCACCGGAAGACAACTGCATTGCCGCCGCCGCTGCTGCCGATGGTGATGGTGATGGTGATGGTGGTGGTATCGATGACGTAGGCGACGGTTGTGTTTGTGGTGAAGTTTGCTGGGGAAGCGACGGACCAGAAGAAGCGGCGGTAGCCGCGGCCGCGCCGGCAGCCTTCGCAGCGGGAAGATAGGGACTCACACCGCCACCTCCAACACCGCCGCCGCCCCCGCCGCCTGTGCCGCCGCTGCCATCAAGACGATGCGGAGAAGAAGAAGAAGAAGAAGGAATGCCTCCTTCTCTCGTGGGAGACCCGCTAAGATCCACGCAATCCACGCCTTGCTGCAGTCTGCCGGATGATAACGATGACGACGCCCATTTCTCTTCTGGCGATGGTGGTAGCCATGAAGCGGTTGTTGGATCAGCCCCTGCCGCCGCCGCCGCCCCTGCCGCCGCCGTTGCTGAACGCTGCTGCTCACTCGATGCCGCTGGTGCAAACTCGAGCTTGCGCTGTGACCGCTCGGGGCGGTACAGCATGGACACGGGCATCGCCTGGGTTTAAGTAGTGCAATGAAATTGCGGGAAAGAGTCACCGCGGAAACAGGAGGCGGTAGGACAGGGGGGAAAACCGGAGTGAGCCCAAAGGGAAGGCAGAACCACGCCGCGACAGTTGCACGGTTGGTGCCGTAATGGCTGGTATTCCGAGGGTGCAACAAGAAAAGCGATAGCGACACCTACCTACCAGAGAGGCCGAAATGGAAGAAAAATAAATCAGCCGTGTTTAACTTATTGCCGTACAGTATAATAGTAGAATTTCATTTTCACTTGGTTTTACAGTACCCCCTATAGGCGTTCTGGGGGCACCTAGATGTCCAAGAGATGCTTCTTCGTGCACCCTTGGGTATTGGGTATTGGGTGCCCGGAATAGACAATGCTATCGTGTCCACACTCGGGAGAAGGCTCGAGCAACATTCTCGACATGTCACATTCTCGAGACGTCGCTTGCGTGTGGTACGCGCAGGGGACGCGTACAATAATACAAAGTCAGTCACGCCGAAAGATACATAGCCGGTTTGCGGCCAACACACTTGTGCTCAAGCTTGATTTCCAAGCCATCAAAACACTGAGCTTCGAGCTCCCCCTCCCCCTGCATTTTTGAACAACCGTAGATTTTCGCGCACTGGGGGCTGTGTGACCACGGATTGGATTTCGTGTCCGGCAGAAATGCCGCGCGCACAAATTTTAAGGCGACGAAAAAAAAAAAAAAGGGCAGGCCAAGCCCGACACCCAGAACATTTCGCTTGATTTTTCACGCGCTGCTGTACGGCCAGGCCATGCCCTAAGCCCCAGCTCGCTTGACGGCATGATTTTGTTAGCTTGCCTGCCTCCGAACGGAATCACTGGTTCCACTTTTTCTTCCAGCTGGAAAAAAAAAAAAGAATGAAAAAGGCTGTACGGCTGTGTGTACATGTAGCGCAAATCCATCTACTCCAAAGCTACGCCATTCATACCGTGAAACAAGAAAACGCCTTGATGGTGACAATCTCAAACGCCCTCCGACCTTCGTGCCACCCACCGGGGGAGGGACTGGGCTTGGGGTGTTCCCAGGACTCAAGAGGCGGTGCTCTCTGCCCGGCACGTTGCTGTAGCCCCCGGCGTCCCGGTTGAGCCCTGCGGTTTTTACCGGTTTCGCGCGGTACATGGTATCCATCACACAAAAATGGAAACAAACGCACAGCAAATCATCACCACCGTGGATCACGACAGGGCGCGCGGGGCGTTGCGACTTGGGGGCGGGGCGTACTCTAATGTTTTGCATGCCTTAGTTGTTGGACCAATCACCACGCGTCCTCGAGAGGACGTCGCATTGTTCCCACAGCAGGACGACCGATCACCGATGGCCAATCGTTCCTTCCTACTTTGCCAAAGGTGGCTCAAACGTCTCGGGGGGGGGGGGAGGGTGGTAAAACCCGACAACCATGCGAGAGACACGGTGTACGAGAGAGACATTCGTACGGGGGCGCGCGGGGGGGGTAGGTGCAAGTAGCTCCACCGCTTTTCTTGCGCAGGGGCTTGTTGTTTCGCCAGGAGGGCAGTCATCACGCAACATCGTGGTGGAGACACGAAAACAAAAAAACCGTTCGGTTATCGAGAGAGACTTTGGGGGGAGAGAGGTAGAGGCAGAGACGGGGACAGATGACGGAGGGAGAAGAACGCGACAATGAGCAAGGATGACGCTACTGTAGGGATCGTTCCATCTCTCACCAACGGTCGACCTGAGCGTTGTCTGCTTGCGGTGGATCGTGCTGATCACACCGTCGTCCATGGTGCCTCGACCCACGAGGTATCGGATCAGCACGGTCTTGGCCTTCTGCCCGATCCTGTCACCAACACAGGCGTTCGTCGGAGGTAATTATATGCAGGCCTGCGTCGAGTAACAACGCGCAACACACACACACTTTACGCCGGCCACAACAACGTCTAAGCCTCCACATAAAGACAACGGCTCTCCCGCCAGTGACATCGTCACGAACGGTACGACAAGTCCATCGCTAGAACAGTCCACCCTCGCCCATTCTCTCATTGTTGGCCACGACACTTTGATTGGTCAACCGAGCTACGGCCTGTCCATCAATCGATCGCCCAAAGTAAGACCCGCAAATATAGGCACGACAATCGCCATCGATGACGACGACGACAACAGCAACGTCTTTAACGGAAAAATTCCTCCCTCCCTCACCTGCTCTTTCCGCTCAAGAACACACCTGAAAAAACGTGTCCTACATAACATTTGGCTGCAAACATCACGCGACTTCTACAAGTGCCACAACATGATACCACAAGGCACGACACAACAAGGGCCGACGTGAGGCACAACGCAACACGCAATATACAAGCACACGCATTACAAAGCACACGCATGGCAAAGACTAAAAAGAGCACACGCATGACACCGACAAAAAAAGAGAAAAACACAAAAAACAGAAACAACCTCCAGCGGACAGCCAGCCAAATCAGAGCACGAAAAAAAAAAAAAAAAAGGCGTGTGAAAACGCCGAAAGTGGAGAGACAAAGCTTTTTCATACCGGTGGATCCGGTCCTCCGCCTGAGCCATCGACCCGGGCGTCCAGTAGAGCTCGGCGAACACCGCGCACGACGCCGCCGTGAGGGTGATGCCCACGCCGGCCGCCGTGATGGACAGGAGGATCACCGACACCGAGGCGCTGCCTTGGAAGCGGTCGACGATTGGCTGGCGCTTCTTCTGCCTCGGTTTTTTGTTGTGTCGTCGTCGTCGTCGTCGTTGTCGTTGTCATTGTCGTTGTCGTTGTCGTTGTCGTTGTCGGCACCGGGCATGCATGGCGTGCGTGCGTGCGTGCGTGCGTGCGTGACGGGTTGATCGGCGTCGTCCGTGTGTTGTGTTGTGTTGTGGTGGGGTAGGGTAGGGGTTTGAGGAAGCCAGCGAGAGCGAGAGCGAAAGCGCGCGGGCCATTCGTGTTAACATTGTAGGGTAGGACAAGGGCAGAAGCGACGCCAGCAACACCAACACCGGCGACCACAACAGCAGCAGCTGCAGCAACAGCAGCAGCAAAGGTAGCGAACTATGAGGGAAGGCAACCTCCCGGTCTGATCGACGACACGTTCCAACAAACGCCCAACCGGCGTGGCGAGGGCGAGGGCGAGGGCGGGTCGGGCGGCGACCACGTCAACCAGTACAGCAGAACAGCAGTACAGCACAGCGATGACGACCTGACCTGAGCGGTGCTGCCGTCGATCCGCACAGAACAGACCCCTATCTCGTCGAGACCCCTCTCAAGGGCATCCATCACTTCCTGCGAAACACGGTTCGAGAATAAGAGTTGTTGTTTTGTCACAACGGCACGGGAAACGGCCGTGGACAAACAAGAGGGTGAGTGGTGCACGTGGGACGGCGGCAGTAGCCTTCTCAGGATCTATCCGATTAGGTAAACATGTTGGATAAAAGCGTGCAATCGGGGAAGTTGGGTTAGGGGTAGGGGTAGGGAATACTCTAGGGTCTGCGTCCCCCCTCCCTGTTCTATTTCCTCATGAACTCATCAGTCGCGCGAAGGCGGTCCGGCGGCGGTGGGCGGGACACTCACCGAGGAGGGCGAGGGTGTAGACGGTACAGAGGGACGCGTGCCTAGAAAAAAAAAAAAAACATGCGAAATGACCTAAAGAACACATGGAATACATAAACCATCCCGTCCCGTACATGCCAGTAAAAGCTCCTGGAAACGACTTCCTTGCACACGGGAATACGGAACACCGTAAACAGGCGTGCGGGGCCGATTACTGAGAGTTCGATTGTTCCGCAACCAAGAGCATGTCAAATGCCGAAAAATGATGGACGAGGAGTTCTCCTTGCACGAGTCGGCCGGGTTTCGCACCCGGCCATTCCCGCACGCCTCGACGTCATTGAATCGGCACCCAAATCGAGGAATGTATCCAACTGAACGACGGTGGGGGGGGGGGGGGGGGGCTCGAAATTACCATTTTTCTGCCTGTATCCGTCGCTTGAAGAACTGGAAGAACTCCTGAAGACAAACTCCACACGCAAGAACTTGGCGACACGTGGAGGGAGGGTGCTGGCGATATCATGCCACCTACTAGGAATTATGCATACCGTAAGCATATATCACTCCACCAACAGACTCAAGACTCAAACCCCTCCAATGCAGTCACTAACGGCTAGGGCCTTGGATGATGAATTACAAGAAGAAATTAATGTCAGCGCTGAACGATTTCTAGCTTCACATTAAATTGAAGACAATAATGAAAACCGGGAAGAACCACGATGGGAAAAAGCGACAGGTTTCCAATCCGCCGAACAACCATTCACCTTGTGGTGAGCGAACACCACGAGCTTCCGCGGCTCTTTTGCCTTGGAAGCGGAGGAATTGCCGGCCGCGGTGGCGGCGACAGCTACACGCGTACCCTTCGCCTGCCCCGACCCCCCTCCGGCCCCCCGGCCTCGCTTGCCGATAGCGTCACCCCGCCCCCCTCGGCCCTTTGCTTTCCCCTTCCCTCCAGAGGACAGTAAGTCCTTGGCGGGTAGCTTTCCCCGCTTCTTCGTCAGTATGAAATCGTCATCACCGTCATCGTCGTCGTCACTGCTGTCGAGGCCCTCATCCGAGCTCACGTCGTCACCGTATCGCCCACCGGCGCTGCCGCTGCCGCCGCCGCCGGTGGTCCGTTTCCGGAGGCGGCTCCCCCCGCCCGATCGACGCCCCTTTCCCGGGACCGGCAGCACCTCCACCTCGTCCCCTTCCTCTTCTGGCGTGTCGTCGTCATCGTCGCTGTTCGCGCCTGCCGTCCTTGGTTTCCTCGCCGCCCGCCCGTTGCCGCGGCCGGCGGCGGCGGCGGCGGCGTCTCCCCTGCCCCTTTTCCTGCCACCCCGCCGGCGCCCCCCCCCGTACCCGTCGCCGTCGTCGCTGCCGCTGTCGACAGCGACGGCCTCATTGTCTTCTTCCTCGGCTTTGACCAGCCTCCTCTTCCTCCCGCCGACCTTCTTGCCACTGCCGCGGACACCGCCGCCACTTTCATCGCTGTCTACAATCCACGCGTCCTCGTCGTCGTCGTCATCGTCCTTCCCGTTTTCGGCCCGGCCTTGGCGGGCCCCGCTACCGTTGGCGCCACCGCTCTTTCTCGAGCCGCCCGTCACTCCTCCCCCCTCGCTGCTGCTTCCCGCCTGCTTCGCTCCCGGCGCCGCAGCCGCCACCGAACGAGGGGTGTCGCAGAGATCGCACTCGCGCTGCGACGCCGGGTTGTGGTACGTGCAGCGCGAGCACGCCCATTCTCCACCACCACCACCACCACCCTCGTCGCCGTCGTCAACGCTAACGTTACCCCACAGCCCCCCCGGACCCTTCCCCCGCGGTAACGGCGGCGTGGCCGACTTCCCGCTGCCCGCCGCCGCCGCCGCCGCCGCCGCCGCCGCCGCCGCCGCCGCCGCCGCTGCCGCCGCTGCGTTGCCCCTCGCGGTAGGGGTGCCGCCGCCGCCGGTGCGATTAGGAGAAACGCCTCCGCCAGGGGGGTGACCTTCGGCGGGGAGTTCTTCGGTCAACATCCCTCGGAGATGGTCGAGTACCCCTTGTATCTGTTGTTGTTGTTGTTGTTGTGGTTGCCGTGGAAGGTAGAGAGCGGATGACGGAGGGGAGCGGCGGGTTTGATACAGCAGTGTTCAGTGTTGTAGTTTACATCGTGTGAACTGCGGCTGTCGGTTACTTGTCGGGCGTGGCGATACCTCCCTGCCGCTCCCTCTCTTCCCTTTGCGTCTACGTGCACGCAGCGCAAGCACTTACAGGTGACCTTTGAAGCTACAAGCACCGACACATTATGCAGCAGTCCACGAGAGAGGCATAGAGGTCAACAACACGAAAGACAACTGTGAGGTTGACAGCGTAGTCACGATTACCCCTGGACTCCACAGCAAGAAGAGGTGGACCGTTGTGTTGCACGCCCTGTAGCGATGAGGAGGTTAGAGAGGGACAGGTAAAGAGGGTGGTAGGGCAACCAGAACAATTATTGTGTGTGTCTGCAAAAATAGCATCGACTGTGCTAACCGGCTGACCAATGAAAAGACGCCAGTCTCAGTGCGGATACAATGGGAAACGCCTCTATAGGTCATGATCTGGGGGGGCGTGAGGTGTGTGTGTGTGTGTGTGTGTGTGGCTCTTCCCACTTCCAAACACACGCGACGACACAGCCCACGTCGCTGGTGCGCTAGGCTGGATGAGGCGGACGGATCAACGGAAGCATGTACTACCCAGCTCCTGCGCTGACAAAAGTAACGAAGCAACACAATGTGCGACGGACCAAACGGCATGACCAAACACCACACACCACCACACCACCACAACACACCTTGGCCCTCCCCGACTCGATGTACAGCTTGGTCGTCAGGCTCTTCATTTGGCCTACAAGCCGCCCCATCTCGGCATCGTCGGCCACGCTACCAAGGGAGGATTTTATGGCCTCCTTCTGTTCCATTAGCTCCGCCACCTGTGGTTGTTGTTGTTGTTGTTGTTGTTGTTGTTGTTGTTGTGTTAGGGTTTCTGATGGGCACTTTTTTCGACTTTGTTACTTGTTCCTCCGCTTTGATCCCTCTATTGCCCAGTCTTTCGTAGCGCTTTCAACCGATAAGCGAAAGGGTGATTCTTATTCTATATAGCCCCAAGAGAGAGAACAAGCGAGCATTTTCCACTTACACACACCATGGTACATAAAAAAAAAAAATAGAGGCACA